TCTCTGTTCAGACATGGGGCTGCTGGTTCACCAAAGCCTTGAGCCGGTGGTGCAGACGCTGGCCTCCCAGGGAGGCCTGGCCCCAAGCCCCTGACGTGTGAGGCTGTGCTGGGGCACTCGGCTAGTGTCTGCCCCCACGCCCACCCTCACCACGTGTCACCGCAGAGAGAAACTTTCTTTGGTTACCGCTCCGATCTCTATTCTTGAGAGAGTTGGCAAATCAGGTTTTGCGTGCAAGAATTTCTGGACATTTTTTTCCATTCTGACCGTCTTTAAGTCTAGATAGGATTCAGTCAGGTGGTCCTTATGATCTATAAAATAAATGAAAGTCAAAAGAAAGGGTCAGGAAGAAGTTATTGATTGTAATAATCACAGCTGCTGGGCACCTGGATGGCTCAGTTGGTTAAACATCTGACTTCAGCTCAGGTCATGATCTCAGGGTCCCGGGATCGAGCCCGAGTTGGGCTCTCCTCTCAGCAGGGAGTCTGCTTCTCCCTCTCCCTGCCCCACCCCTCAGTTCGTGCCCTTTCTCTCTCTCTCAAATAAATAAATAAAATCTTAAAAAGAAATCACAGCTGTGGTTTACTGGACCTTACTGCAGGCCAGTGCTGATCTCCACCACCCTCCCTTGGCAGGTGAGAAATAGGCCTAGACAGGTAAATGGCTTGTCCAAGGTCACACATAGTTAGTAGGAGGCTGGGGCCTCGCAGGAGCCAGGGCCGAGACATGGACGGTGAACTTTCAGCCACAGGAACCAGGCTGGAACTTGAACCCTGGCTTCTGGGGCCTAGCCCAGCACTCCCCCCCACCCCCCAGCAACAGGTGCAGTGTCTTGAAAACGTTATCCCTTCTAAACAGAGTATTCTAGGAGGTTCCCAAGCTGATCCTTGCACTGTTAGTCCATGACAAAGTTCCCACCAGGCCACAGCGAAATAAGAAAAAGGACAATGTAGTGAGTTTTTTATGAAATCCCATTTATTTAAGATTAAGGCTTGCCCTTGACTCTGAGATCATGCCTGCCATCTTTCCTCATATGACAATGTCCTTTCGGCTATGAAGTGACAGGACAGAAGACGGTGGTCCTGGCCGATGTCAGTGCCCAGAGTGACCTCTAGAGTCTGGGGCTCAGGGCTCTGAGCAGGGAGAGGGAGACCAGCAGGGAGGGAACTTACTTGATGAGCAGGTCTTCTCAAGCTCCTTAATTCGCGCACGCAGTTCAGACAAGGCCTTTTTCTGACGCTGAATGATTTCCTCATGTCGGGACCCTTTGCACTTGGCCCCTAGATCCCTGAAGGATTGTTCCTGTGGCCAGAATGGTGTAGAGGTTAGTTTTATCAGGGGTCAGAATCTCTCTCTCTTTTTTTTTTTTTTAAAGATTTTATTTATTTATTCATGAGAGGCAGAGAGAAACAGAGGGAGAAGCAGGCTCCCAAGGAGCGGGAAGCCCGATGCGGGACTCGATCCCAGGACCCCGGGATCATGACTTGAGCCGAAGGCAGACGCCCAACCATCTGAGCCACCCAGGCACCCCAGAATCTCTCTCTTATAGTCCAAGAAACATGTACAACTCATGATTAGCAGAGACCCTGTCACTTAGTACCTTGGAAGCTACTGTAAGGGGCTTCAGTGCAGAAGGAATTTAAATTTTTCATTTCAAATATAAAGTCACATCTAGGAAGATTTCCAATTCTCTTACCTACTTAGCATATCTATAAATAAAACCCCCTCTATGTTCCCTCCCTGTGTTTTATATTTTCTTCTAATATTCTTCTAAGCTTGGGTTTCCATTTGTTGTCATTTGGGTCTTGTCTCAGAATAATCACATCAAATTCTGCTCCAGGAGGGGGCATTTTTAGATAAGAACACATGGTACTTTCTTTCTGACTGGAAATAGGGATGGCTCTTCAATATTTGCTAGGGGGAATTTGATAGATTGGCTCGCGGTTGGTCTGGAGAAAGGAAAACCTTCCTCCGAGACTTCTGGAGGTTCTACTGTCCAACAGAACTTTCCGGGATGAAGGAACGGTTCCACTTCTTGCTCCATCCAATATGGCAGCCACCAGGCACAGAGCACAGAGCTAGTGTAGGGCTTATGAAAGGCATAGACAAGGAAAGGTCTTCTCTATCTTTTAAGGGTCATGCCCACCTTTCAGATTCAGAAGAATGCAAGGTTCCATCTTTCAGAAAAATTCCCAGACACACAAAAATTTGCGTACAGGGGCGTCTGGGTGGCTCAGTTGGTTGAGTGTCTGACTCTTGATTTCGGCTCAGGTCATGATCTCAGGGTCCTGGGATCTTGCCCCGCATCGGGATATGCACTCAGTGGGGAGCCTGCATGAGGATTCTCTCTCTTCCTCTCCCTCTGCCCCTCCCCCCTGCTCTCTCTCTCTCAAATAAATCTTTAAGAATTTTGCATGCAGATTCTGGAGGTTCAGGGCCCCCCTGAAGCCCAGTAATGAACTCTATGCAACACATGTGCTCCGTGAGAGCAAAGTCTTTGTCTCCATTGGAGACTGTGGTGTTCCCAGGGCCCAGCACTGTGCCCGAGCTTAGTAGACGGTCCACAGTTACGGAGCCTGACTGAAATGAGGTTAGAAACAGGGTGGGAAGGAGCTTGTTCCAGCTTTCTGGCTGGGACCAGGGCTCAGCAGCAAAAAGAAGGGGACATGCCACTCTTGGCTGGATTTAGTAGGACCTCACTTGACCCTGACATGGGCTTCAGCCTGCTTATAGGCTGCATGGCTGGTCCACTCTTCCCAGGTTGATTCTACACTGGCCTTGCTGTCTTTGAGGATGTATGTTTGCCCAGGAATGTCGTGTGTGTGTGTGTGTGTGTGTGCGCGTGCACACACGTATGTAGGAGTGTGGAGAGGAGGATAGGGTCTACTGACCTGGGGCTGGGGCAGCCACAGCAGCGAGGCTTGGTGACAGCCTTTATTCTGTCTGAAGAGTATGCCCGAGCCCGATGTGACCCTTACTCATGGCTCTTCTGGGAATTTGTTTATTTAGAGAAGAAGATGGAGATTCTTTCTCATACAACTCTGAAGCCCTCTGACCCACTCTGGCTTAGAAAGCAGGAAGTAGCCTGAGTTTGGAAAGCCATTCGGAGAAAGAACAAATACTTTTTTCCTTTTATCTTGCAGCCTCCCTCCCCCATCCTCGTCAGTTAATCCTGCCTCATAAGGGAAACTAATAATCTCGGTATCCAGTCAACAATCCGTTCTAGCAAACTCGTGCAGAGTCGGAGGGGGTCTGGTGTGAACAGGAGCCCTGGGCCTCCCCCTCTGCGCCCACCCCGGGCCTGGCATGCAGCAGACACTCTATGGTTGTTGAGCGAGTGAATGAGTATGGGCTGGGTCCTGCACTGAGAGCTCGGGATTCCGACAGGTCTGAGACAGGAGCGAGACTTGCTCCCCGCTCCGCAGAGCTCAGGGTGCGGGACCGCTGGCGCTTCCCCGGGCACCTTCACCTTCTGTGAAATGCTCTGGACAGCGATGGTGCTGTCCAGATGGCTGGGCCTCGAGGCCTTTCGTTCAAGCTGCGTGCGGCCCTGGCTCACTGCTGTTTGGCAGGGGAATGGCATCTTTGAGAAAGCAGGAAGGCAAGCTGACACATTTGGCCCTGTTTCCAAGTGAAGATCCAAAGCCCATTACTGAAATGCCCTGTTCTCTAGTTTCATAAAGCAAAGGGGAAAAGGATGTCCCTGGGCTCCAGGAAACCCGAGGCCTCAAGGAATCGCTGCACCCGCAGTCAGCCTTCCACGGACAACGGGAAGCATCCCAGGGCAGAGTGGGAGTGCCACCTTGGGGGGCAGCGTGGTGAAGGCTGTTCTCACTCGGAGACACGCTCCCTGTGTTCTGAGCAGCTGAGGCGTCCAGACATGCAAAGGCTTCTGGCCAGGCACCCCAAGAGGAGTCAGGGAGAGACGGGCATGCAGCAGAAATGGTACATGGCTCTTTGGGGAGACAGTCTGGCCCCATCAAGCACAATTTGGGATGCCCTCTGGACCCTGCATTTTCACATCTGGGGAATTTGTTCTATGTACAAATCTACAGGGACATTAACTATAGCAACGTGTGAAAGTAGACACAGCCTCAGTGTCCATCCGCAGGGGACTCGGGGTGGACAAGAGGGAGGCAGTGGAATTCTATGCACCCAATTAAAAGAACAGAGTGGTTCTTAATATACTTACTAGGAAAGAGGGTCTTTATATATATAGTGTTCAGTGGGGGAAAAAAACACGTTGCAGAATATACATGGCTTAATACCATTATTTTGCAAAAAGATCTCTTGTATAAACATGCATATATAGGGTGTGTGTGCTTGTGTGCATAAACAAAATTTGTTTCTCTACAACCCCACGCGGTGGTGGCTGTCGTCCTGCTACTTTCCAGACAAGGGAGCCGGCATACAATTACCTCCCTGGGGTCAGCGTTTCTGGGTGCAGGAGTCCCACCCCGGGATGGAACCCGGGTGGCCTGGAGCTGAGGCTGGTCTTCGTACACTGCGGGGTTGCGCCTGTATGAGGGTAGGGCAGGCTCTGTGAGGAAAAAGGCTGATGGTGCATCTGTCAAACTGCCCACAGCTGTGACCTCCAGTGGCCTCGGGAGGAGGGCGGGGACTACCGCTTTTTGCTGTGCGCATTTCACATAAGCAAGTCAGATCTTTGGAACTTAGAATGCAAATATTTTCAGAAGCAAAGACGGGCACCGTGGGGCTCTTTTTTTTTTTTTTTTTAGCATTGTCCCCCTGAGTGGCCAGGCCTCAGCAGCACTCACCTCTTGACTGCTCAAGAGACTGTCAGTGTGGACCGGTTCTATCTGCACCGAGATGTCACACATCTGGGCCGTGTTCCTGGGCTTCTGTTCCTTCTCCTTGTACAGCTGGACTCTGTTTTTCTCTTGGGAGGCCCTAGGGCAGAGAAGATGAGTCACTGGACAGCAGGATGGCTGGCAGCCTGAGGTCCCAGGAACCACGACTGACCTTTGGAGCCAATGACAGAACAGAAAAAGGAACTCCATTTTTTTTTTTTTTAAAGATTTTATTTATTTATTTGAGACAGAATGAGAGAGACAGCACGAGAGGGAAGAGGGCAGAGGGAGAAGCAGACCCCCCGCCGAGCAGGGAGCCCGATGCGGGACTCGATCCCGGGACTCCAGGATCATGACCTGAGCCGAAGGCAGTCGCTTAACCAACTGAGCCACCCAGGCGCCCCAAAGGAACTCCATTTTTATAGGTAACTGAAACCTTCGGGTCTTCAAGTCTCCTGCCGGCAGATTTCTGGAGACTTTAGTTTCAGGGGACTTCTAAAATCGTGGCCAGGGCAGCAGACACCTGTCCCCCTTTGCTCCCCATACTAGGTCTGCGGGACACCCGCTGGGGCATTTGCTGGGGCATTTACCGCGTATCTGCTGTTTCTAACACTTTGTACTTGTTAACCCTTCTATTTCTCGTAACAATCCCATGAGTTGGGGACTCTCTTTGCCTCATTTTACAGGCAAGGAAAGAGACACACAGCAATTTGCCCGTGGTCATGAAGCTTGTAAGTGAAGGTGGCTGGCTTTGAATCCAGGCAGCCTGTGTCTTTAACCACTATGTGAATCTGTCTTGGCCAGGAGCCGGGAGGCATATGAAGCTACAGGGTAGTCACAAGATGTGGCTTTTACTCAACCTTTCTTGGAGAAAACATTACTCTTATGTCAAAATAAGGGCAAGTTGTGGATGAAACTGCAAACTCACATGTATTTTTCAGACTAATCCGTGGAATGACAATGAAATCTTACATTTATTTTAAGCTGACTTCTTTTACCCCAGTTTATACGTTGGTTCCATCAATATTTATAAAGTTCCCTATGTGCCAGGCACTGTGTGAATGCTGGGGAGTCAACAGCAGGCAAGGTCTGTATGGGGTCCTTATGGGGAAGGTGGATAGTCAAACAGGCCATAGCAGCCTGGCTGTGTGAGAAGTGTTAGGTTGTACAGAGTGCAGGGGCTGAGAGACCCCGGGCAGAGTAGGAGCCCTTGGCTCTGTTTGGTGAGGGTAAGTGACAGAGGGCTCCTTAGAGGAAGTGGCATTTAAGCTGAGGCCTGTCCTCTGGAATACTGGGCAGGAATGTTTGCGAGGCACAGAACTAAGCAAAACCCTGTTTTAAATGATGAGGTTGTGCAGTAATGAAACACATGCCTGCCTGCCATCCATCCCTCCCTCCCTCCCTCCCTCCCTCCCTCCCTCCCTCCCTCCCTCCCTTCAACATTTACTGAGTGACCTCCACGTGGGAGGCTCCCTGGGCACTTGGGTGTGTCTGGGCCCCCTATACCATGAGGGCCTTCCCACACACCTGAGCGCCTCCTTGAGGACCTCCAGCTCCCTGTCCTTCCTTTCCACCAGGCCCGTCAGCTGCACCATCTTTTCCTTGAGCGCTCTCAGCTCGCTGCTTTGTTGCTGGACCAGCGCCACGTTCTGCTCCAGTTCCATCTTCTGCTTTTCATTAAGCTCCCCTGGAGAGACAGGAAAGCTGGTGAGGGGCTCTCCCGCCTCAGGGCTCTGCCAGGGCCACGGCCCATCGGCCAGGTCTACAAGAACCATGAGGCGGTCCACGCTCCAGGAATTCTTGCGGCGGGACTAGGGGGGTGTTAGTAACAGCCAGGGGGTCTGCCTGTGTCTTAGCAAATGACAGCAAAGCCCTGTCTGACCCCAGTGTTCCAGAAGCCTTTGCACCTGTGGCCTCTGGGGGCTCCCTGGTCCACCTTCGGCTGCCTGCTTCTGCATCTGTTTGCCTAAGGGTGTTCCTTCTCCGGCCTCTGGGGTCTGCTCTGCTCCTGGGTCTGCCAGGTGCATCAGCCTCCACCCAAGACTGGAATTCACAGCCCGGTTCCCCTCACCCCTGGGGCGGGCGACCCGGGGGCTGGGCTGTACCCTGCTCCCCAGCGTTCGCCCCCTGCAGAATTCAGCTCCAGCTGCCTGCTCTGCCCCTGACTGACAACACAGCTTTCTTTGCCTTCGTCCCTCTCCTGCCTCTAGTCTACCTCCATTCCTGCTGGTCCTGGGATCGCCTCTCAAACCCACCACCCGCAGGAGCATTCTGGTCTCAGGGTCAGCCTCTGTTGGCAAAACCCAAACGGAGACACTTGCATTACCTCAGATTTTCATAGCAACCCTCCAAGTGAGTTACTGGTCACAGCCCCACTTCACGGAGGCAGAAACAGGCTTGGAGAGGTAAAGGTGCTTGCCGAAACTCCGGGGACTAAAATAAGTAGCAGATCCAGAACCAGGTCCAACGTCTCCTAATTCTAGAACTGGACCTGCTAGCCTCTCTACTATACTTTCTCCTACCTTAGTATGAAAACAATCACTCTTGGGAAAATTCAGCCATAAATGCCCTGGGGGCATTGACAGTATAGCTCTAGGGGGAGCAAATACCACTGAAGGTTTTGGGGGTACACAGGGTTTGAGATGGGGACAAGACAAGAGGAGTGCTCTTCGCCCTCCCTTGACTTCCCCAAACCAGGTTCTGTCTCCTGACTCCCACCTGCCTGTGCATTTTGGGGCTGGGAAGGAGAAAATGTCTATAAGAAGCAAAAGAGGGGAGGCGGAAATAAAAGGATGGGGTTGGGGCGGGGAGAGAAAAAGAGCAAAAAGTAGGAATATTCAGCTAGACTGGTTCGTGCTCTTTGGTCCCTAGTGTAGGAGGTCCCTAATGTCCAGCCAGCTCCAGGAAATAGGTCTGTTGTAGGTGATTTTGCACAGGAGGAAGGGGAGGTGAGGAGAGAATACCTTGCTCTAGGTCCCAGAGCTGGGGGGTGCTGGGGTTTATGCCCTCCCTCCCAGCCTTTGCCTCCAGAGACAAATCCTCTAAGGCAAAAGGGCATTTTTCTCAAAAGGAAAGTTGCATTTCAATGCAGAGGTCTGAAGCCCTCTGAGAATGCTCCCTGTGGCCCCCTGATCAGGCATCTGTCTTGCTGACCGAAGTACAAATGTTCAAATTCTGTGACCGCCCAGGAAAGCAGGTCAGCAGGATTTTTAATGCTAAGCTTTCCAACTCTTAAGCCTGTTCTTTCCTTTCTCAAAGTGGGTCAGGAAGTCAAGAGACACAGGCAATCATACAAACCTCTCAAATCTGACATTCGGTTGTGGGCTTCCGTGAGGTTTTTCCTTAGCCTCATGATGACCTCCTGCTGAGACAGGATTTCCTTCTGAGCGGTCAGTAGATCCCCTCTGAAACTCACAAAGACAGGCCAAGTCAGCTCACCTCAGTCTCCAGGATGTCCCCAGTGCCTGGAAGGGGCCAGGTAGAAATGCAAAGTGATCCTTCTTCAGTGCGGGTCCGAGGGATACCAGTCCCAGCAAGGGGGAGAAGCACGCTCTTTAAAAATTCTCAAAGCAAAAATTCATTTTGATGCAAAAAAATATATATATATATAGGGAAATAGGACAGAGGATCCCAGCTGGGTTCAATCTGAGGCTGAGCTATGACAAGTACCAGCTTATTTCACAAGTGATTAAGCTAAGGTGCAGTGATGGGACGTGACTTGCCCAGAGCCACACACCTGCAAGGGGTTGAGTTGGGATCTGAACATAGATCCACCCAGATCTTACCATGACATCATCCTGACCTGCTAGAGGATCGAGAAATTCAAATGACAGCGAGAAGACCCCAGACTCGACTCCTTTTTTTCAGGGTCCGACGACGTGGCCAGAAGTGGGGGTGGGGAGGGGTGTCTCTGGCCTGGGTACTCACATCAAGGTGTCACATACTTCGTCTTTGACACTGCTCTCCATCGGAGGTGCCGCTGGGGGGTCTCGCTGCATCACCTCCTCCTGGGCTGAATCAGAGGGACCCGTGAGCGTCATTACAGTCCGCATGCAACTGATGCTCTCCTTCCCCTGGGCTTATAAACACACCTGCGTCTTTTCCAACTTAGCCACCCCCCTACACTCTGCCGCCCTCTCCACCTAATGAGCCCCACCATGGGTTCTGCAGCACAGACTGGGACCCCCCATGTACGAGCTCATGAAATATTTCCAGCTACTCTATGAGGCAGGGATCATGAACTCCATTTGCAGGGGAGGAAATGGGCACAGGAGGGACAGAACTTGCCGGTGGCCAGTCAGCGAGGCCGGTGAGGAGTGGAGCCCCAACCACTGGACCACGCCTCCTCCCTATTTGGCCTTTCCTCCCAGGCAAGTCCTGTCCTGTCCTCTCCTCACACTTACTCCTCAGCCCACCGCCTTCCGGTTTCCATCCTCATCCTCGGTCGCACCTTTAGTCGTTCATCAGGTGTTTATGGAATGTCTGCTTTCTGGCAGATTCTGAGCTAAATGTGACTACTTTGTTGTCACCCTTCAGGTCCCAGCTCCCTCTGACCTCACCTTGGGTTGGGAGACTGAGTCCCGCCTCATGCCTGGGCCATGGTGCCCTGTTCCGACTGGGTCACCTGTCAGGGCCGTCATTTGATGAACTGCAGGGACTGTGCCTGGATTCCATATGGAATCCCCAACGCCTAGAGTAAACTTGGAACCTAACGAAGAGCGTTGAGTGAATGAAAGCATGACGTGAGCCCCGACAGCTTGTCAGCTGGCTGGAGACCAGGACCATGGTTCCCAATCAGGGGTGAGTTTGCCCCCCTCCCCGGGGACATCTGGCACTGTCCGCAGACGTTTCTGGTAGTCACCCTTGGTGTGTGTGGGGGGGTGCTGCTGGCACTCAGAACAACCCTGGCCCGAGGCCTCAACTCTCCTCCGAGAGCTCAGCATCTTTGCAATGCATTGCGTCGCCTCGGTCATTTAGGGTGAGTACGTGCTCACACCCTTAGTTCTTTTCTCAGCCCCTTTTGGATTTCTTTTTAAAGCTGGTTATGAAAGGCCATTAGGCAAAGTCGCAAACTCCTGAGGGCAGAGAGAAGGCTCTGAAAGGCCTGGTAGTCTGTGCATTTCCACTGGCTCGCTGGCTCAGCACAAAGGACGTCCTGTCCCGTTGTTGTGACTCTGTCTAACCTGGGCCTCGAGGGCCCCTAACCTTGTTGTGCAACGGGAAGAAAATGGTGCCTCCAGGGAAAAAAGGAGTGTTCAAGCGAGGTGCAGCCTTTTTGGGCCCCTCATCAGCCTATTGAGACCCACGGGATAATCAGAACCTGCCCCAAACGCTAAGATTTCCTCAGCTTCTCTTTGGACCGACCTGGATCACTGTCCTTCAAGGTTGCAATCTCTCCTTCTATTTTTTTATGGTGCTCAGTCACTTTTTGGAGTCTTTCTTCGAGGCTCACGATCGTCTGGGAGTGCTGTTTGATTTGCTCCTTATATTCCCTGATTTCTGTTTCAAATCCGTGTTTCTGTGAGTCCTGTTCTTCCTGGAGGGCCTTCACTGTCTGCTGTTCCAGCTGTATCCGCTCCTCCATGATGAGCTGGGAAAACAGGGACATCATTAGTGTGATCTTGGGAGCTGGGTGTGATGTCAAGGACGACAATAGCAATATGCCCCTTTTGCACCCACAGGCATGGAACTTGGACCCACCTCAGGGCCTTTGCACGTGCTGTTCCTGCTGCACAGTACTCTCCTCGTCCCCAAGCTCCTTGCATGGCTGACTCCTTCTCATGTTTCAGGTCTCAACTCCAATGTCACCTCCCTCAGAGAGGCCCTTCCTTGACTGCCTGTCTAAAGGAGCAGACCGAGACACTTTCTATTCCATCTTCTGCTTCCATTTTCCGCGATGTGCTTATCACCATCTGAATGATCTTGTTTCTTTATTTCCCATTCCCACTAGAATGTAAGCTCCAGGAGAGCAGAAACTTACTTTTCCTTATTTACCAATGTACCCACAGCACCAGTGCCTAGATCCCTGCCATAGCATCTAGACCTAGATGCTCAATAAGTATTTGTTGAATTAACAAATGAACAATTTTATAAGAAAAAGAGAATGAATTCGTATTTTTTTTAAATTTCTTTTTCATTTTTTAAAGTAGGCTCCACACCCAGCAGGGAGCCCAACGTGGGGCTTGAACTCACAACTCTGAGATCAAGACCTGAGATCAAGAGTCAGACGTTAACCAACTGAGCCGCCCGGGAGCCCCAAATTTCTATTTCTTTTTTTTTTTTTAAGATTTTATTTTATTTATTTATTAGAGAGAGAGAGAAACAGCATGAGAGGGGAGAGGGTCAGAGGGAGAAGCAGGCTCCCCGCCGAGCAGGGAGCCCGATGTGGGACTCGATCCCAGGACTCCAGGACCATGACCTGAGCCGAAGGCAGTCGCTTAACCAACTGAGCCACCCAGGCGCCCCCCAAATTTCTATTTCTTAAAAGCAAAAAGTCCCAATCATCACCAAGAGGTGAGCTGGACCCTTTCCCTCAGCCGCCCTGCCCTTCCTGAGGCTCTTCTCGGGGCTTCTCGATGCCTCATCCTTGCTCCCCTCCTGCTTCTCTGACCACTCCTTCCTTGGCTCTCCTGATGACATCAGACTCCTGCTCCTTATTCCCAGCTGACATGTTGGGCTGCAGCCCCCGATCCTGAAGCTCACACACACACACACACACACACACACACACATTGTTTTAGCGATCATGCCTCCTCTAAATTGAGATGTCTTGTCTTGCCACAGCCTGAGCTGGCCTCTCCAACTCCAGTCTCTCTCAAATTCACTTTGCGTACTTTGGCCAGATGAGTCCTCATTACTTCCTTGCCCACAGACCTGTTGGTTGAATGTATGAATGACGAATGAGTGCAATATTGAGCCCTGATGGTGGAGGGCCTTGAATGCCGAGCTAAATTTTAAAACATTATCTTAAAGTCTGTGGAATAGTCATTGATTACTAAGGTCTGGGGCTGCTCAGTCCTTCAGCCTGATCCTGTGAGGACCCTGTATTACAACATCTTAGAACTCCTGGAGAGAGGGCATTGTAGCCTCAGTTCACTTTTTATTCAAGACCAGTGCTTCTCAATAGAGGGTGATTTTGCCCCCCAAAGGACATTTGGCGAAGTCTGAAGACACTGCGGGTTGACATGTCTGGAGGGAGACTGCAACTGGCATCTAGCAGGTGAGACCTGGGGTGATGTTAAGCATCCTGTGATGCAAAGGATGGCTGCGCACAAGAAAGGGTTAACCAGCCTGGGGCACCAGCAGGGCCCAGGCTGAGAGCCCCTGGTCTAAATCATGAGTTCTCCCAGCGTTGCGATCCTTCATTGAGGGAAAGATTCTCCCGGCCCCGGAAGGCACCAACTCACCATTTTTGTCTTGGCGGTTTCCAGTTCAGCTAACGTTTCATTTAATTTCATGGTGAGGCTCTCTGCTCTTAGGCTCTCAGCTGTCTTGGTTTTCTGAGTCTCTTCTACCATGGCCAGTGCGTCATTTAATTTATTATTTAAAAGATCTTCTTTTTGTACTTTTAAGTCTATTTCCTGGACAAACAGCAAACATCAAATTAACAGAAATTCAGGAATGAATATTTCCCCTAGCCGCCCCCTGGCCCGGCCCCCCATTTTCAGAAAGGAGGTGAACTCCATTCTGTTATTGTCCCTTTTTCAGCCCAAAGTCCATGCTTTCCTGGGAAGGTCCCAGTTACTATAGAGCTTGCTTTTCTCTCCAGCTGAGACTGTCTCCTGGTGATTTCTGGTCTCTGAGCTCAGTTCTGTCACCTGGAGTGCACTGAGCAAGTTTTATTTCTCTTTTATGAGACAGCCCTTTAAATATTTGAGGAGGGCTGTCATGTCTCTCTCTAAATCTATTTTCCAGGATAAATGTGCTGAGCTCCTTTACCCCTTCGCCATAGGATCTGCCTTCAGCACCCTCCTCCGCATCCCTCCCTGGCTTCGGAGGGATGGCCTCCCCTCTTCCCTCTGGGCTCCGGCAAGGTGGACTCCCCTCGTCATGTCCGTGCACACCTCATCCCTCCTCCTGGATCCACTTTTCCAGCCTTGGACTCCCCAAATTCTACTCTCCTCTGGGAGCCCCTCCTCAGGCCATGCGGAATGTAAGCTTTGTGACTGGTCCTGGGTGGGGGCTTCATGAACTTTATTTATTTGACTTTATTTTTTAAAAAGATTATTTGGGGCACCTGGGTGGCTCAGTCGTTGGGCGTCTGCCTTCGGCTCAGGTCATGAGACCAGGGTCCTGGGATCAAGCCCCACGTCGGGCTCCCTGCTCGGCAGGAAGCCTGCTTCTCCCTCTCCCACTCCCCCTGCTTTTGTTCCCTCTCTCTCTGTGTCTCTCTCTGTCAAATAAATAAATAAAATCTTAAAAAAAAATTATTTATTTGAGCGAGAGAGAGAGAGAGAGAGAGAGAGAGCATGAGCAGGGTGGGGGAGGGGCAGAGGGAGAAGCAGGCTCCCCACTCGATCCCAGGACCCTGGGATCATGACTTGAGCTGAGGGCAGATGCTTAACTGTCTGAGCCACCCAGGCGCCCCTACTTGACTTTGTTTTTGAAGAGCGGTTTTGGGCTCACAGCAAAATTGAGAGGAAAATACAGAGCTCTCTTATACGCTCTCCCCACTCCATTGTGCGGGATCATCAACATCCTGCACCAGATGGTACCTTTGTTCCAACTGATAAACCTGTGCTGACACACACGGTCACCAAAAGTCTGTAGTTTATGCTAGGGTTCATTCACTCAGTGCTGTACACTCTACGGGTTTGAACAAATGTATAATGACACGTATCCACCATTATAGTATAGTGCAGAGTAATTTCACTATGCTCCATCTAGTCATCCCTCCCCTCCACCAACCCCTGGTCTTCGGTCTCCATAGTTCTGCCTTTTCCAGAATGTCACAGACTTGGAATCATACTGTAGGCGGGCTTTTCACAAGCATTATTTCATCCAATGTAAAAGAGCAGTTGATGAGATGTAGTGCTGGGTCTTCTCAGACTCTGTTGCTGGCAGGATAAACTGGTAGGACCTTTTATTTGGGAACGTGTATCAAGAGGCTGAACATGTTTACACCCTGTGACCTGGCGATTCCACTTTTGGGAATCTATCCTAAGGACATAACCGCACACATTCGCGAGGACTGACGTGCAGGGCTGTTCAGCCAAGCATTTTTTCACTCGAGTGGAAAGTGAGAAACAGTCCCAGGGCCCAACCACAGGGGACAGGTCAATAAACTGGGGTCCACCCAACGCAGTGCAAACCCTGGTCAGCTGTCCGTGGCAGGTCGTGGAAGAATGTTCCATGCCATAGAGACGTTTTGGTAATGTATTCAGTTAAAATATAGCACCCAGGTCAGCGTGCACAGTGTAACGGGGTAAATCACTTTGTAACAAATGGATGTTTGCGATGTCTGTAATAAGGATCAATGTGTAGATGGTCTGGGAGGAAGCCCATCAAAATGTCACTAGTGGTAACTCTGCTCAGTGGAAATCATGGGCAGTTTTTTATCTTCTTCCGAATGGTTTTCTGTAAATAGTTGCTCCTTTTATAATTGGGAAGGGAAACGGATTTAAAAACAACAAGAAAAATCCATTTTCGTCATGTGATTCCTGTAAGCCTCACGTGGGAGCCACTTCGTTCTCTGCGTATCACCACTGAACTCCACCTGATTCTATTTCGGGGCCTTCACATCACCGTGACTGTTGAGAAATCCCAGTGCAGTGCAGACCACGTGCAGCCCTGGCCAGAGAAGGTGCTCACCAGGGACGCGGGCAGGCATCCCACGGAGCCGCCTGTCATCTGCAGCGAAACACTCCAGCTGTCCCCGAGAATCCACAGCAAACCGATGGTTTCTTTGATGGGCCGCAAAGCTGCCCAAGGGCAGAACGCACTGCCAGGCATCTTTGCTCCTTGCCAACCACTCAGCCTCTTTGACCCAAGGACAGGACAACAAAGTTGACTGTGCCCCCGGGTCTGGATTTATTTTTCTTCTCCCCGCTCTCCTTTCTTTGTGCCCATTGCTCTTCTGTGTATATGAGTAAAACAGCATGTGAATAAGCAACTCTATGTCTGGGTGGTTCTTTGACCTTGCCCTTCCTTGGTATTTCCTGGTACATGGGGATTTCCTGGGGAGGGGTCCCGTTTCTCCTTGTCCGGTGTGATGCCCCCCCGTCTGCCTGGAGGGCCGTCACGAGACCTCGCCCTCTGATGTCACTGTTGTTTTCCCTGAGGCTGTTGAGGGTGTTGAATGCACAGCAGAGTCCTCTATCTGATGATCCTTAGGACAGATTCTCTCTGGGTTGAGTACTGAGAATGGCTCAGTATCCGCGAGCCATCAGTTCACTTTGATCCAGAGAATTGTGCAGCCCCCTGAGCCCTCCCTTTCGCTGTAACTGTTAGAGTAAAAACTGACCATTTGTTGATTTCACTGATACACGTTTATTTTTTATTTTTTTTATTTTTTGTGGGGTTTTGTTGGCATTAGTCTCATCCCTGATCCATTTGATGTCCTCACTAATCTACTTTAAAAATGTTAATGTCTCCTTTCCTCCTGCCCCGAACTGAAGTGTTTTATGGAAGATCCATGGTGAATCGTTTGGGGAAACAAGGCTGTGTGTGAACAGATTGCGCCCTGGGGGCTCTGTGGGCCCGCAGTGTCTGCCCGCCCTCCCTCAGTGCACCAGCCTCGGCTGACAAGCCCTGCATCATTTCCCCCCGACTCTGGTCTGCCTTCTCTGGGCACGCTCCAGTTGGTTAAGGTTCCTCTTAGGAAGCCGTGCCTGGGACTGATAGGTCATGCAGATGTGGTTTACTGATGCCCATCTCTCTGGGGCAGCGGTGTTCCAAATGCACCAGCACCACGTGGGGCTGCTTGTTAAAGATGCAGATTGCTGAGTCCACCCCCTAGACGGTGAATCCGAATCTCTGGGGGCAAGGCTCAGGAAATGGGCATTTAAACACCGCCCCCCCAACCCCGCCTCAAGTGATTCTATGCATGCTAATGTTTGGGAATCTTGCTTTAAAGAAAATGATCTAAGATTGATGTGAATAGACGCAAAGACCTTTCTCGTCCCCTCTGGTCTTCAAAGTCCTCTGAAATTGTGTTTACCTGCATTGAAATTTAACCCCCTATTGTCAGGGTGTGTGTTGAATCCCTTGCCTTGACTTTTTCGATATTAGCCATTGTGTGTGTGTGTCCCTTGTACTGTTGGGACCCAGGAGGAGTGAATTCTGTCCTACAGCGGGGAGGTGCCTAAGACAGGGTCCCATCAACAACCTGTCTGCTCCTCCCAGGAACAGTTGTCAGTGAGGTCTGACTGGGCAGGTCGTGGTACCCACGGGGACAAGGTCGGCAGAGACGCTGCTGTCCAGGTGGTGGGAAATTCAGGCATCCCTCTCCTGACATCCCCTCTGTGACCCCCAGCAGCTGAGGCTACACACTGTTCAAGGATAGTAGGGAGAGGAGGGGGACAGTGCGGGGTTCAGTTCTGCCCCTCCACATCCCAGCTATGAGCTCATAATAATAATAATAATAATAATAATAATAATAATAAAATAAAAGGAGCCGACACACAGAGCATTCACTGAGTGCTAGACACTTTCCTCTGTGTTTTATGAGCTTGTGAGCAATCAAGCCTCACCACTCGATGGGGCTGATCTATGGTCATTATCTGGACTTCATAACTAGGGAAACGTAGGCACAGGGATGGTAAGACACTTGCCTCAGATTGCATGGGCAGAAAGCGGCAGAGGTGGGATTCGAACCCAGACCGCCTGCCTCCAGAGCCCTGCTCTTTTTTAAATTTATTTTTTTTTAAGATTTTATTTATTTGCGAGAGAGACAATGAGAGACAGAGAGCATGAGAGGGAGGAGGGTCAGAGGGAGAAGCAGACTCCCCGCCGAGCAGGGAGCCCGATGTGGGACTCGATCCCGGGACTCCAGGATCATGACCTGAGCCGAAGGCAGTCGCTTAACCAACTGAGCCACCCAGGCGCCCCAGAGCCCTGCTCTTAACCGTGCTGGGCGTCTCCGTGTCTGCTCCTCTCTGAGACTCTTACCTCTTTCTGCTTGGTTATGTGGTTCTCCAGATCTTGCACCTTCTTCTTTTCCTTCTCTATGGCCTCTTTTGCTTTGTGTTTCTCGTAGGCGAGGCTGCTCTCTGAAATCTGGAAGTCAGGGACAACTGGTTTGAGGGAGTGTACGCGAGGGAGGAAGGGAAGGGGCACCATGAGGGAAGCCAGGATTAGTAATTGCCCAGATCAGTGAGTCAGGGCTTGGGAATAAGGCTCAGGGAACAGGATGCTCACGGGAGAGAGGGGTGGGAGTCTTGGCATGCCCGCCACGGCGGTGAGAACCTGAAGGTCATGTCTGTTTGTCACCGCATAAAAGAGAGGGTTATTCATCGTTCAGGATTTCGGGCCTGTGTTCAGGAAGTGACGTGCTGGTGAGTGTTCGGGTCAAGGCGTTTGGCACTGAGCCACTAATTGAACTGGAATGTGGGCCCTCCTTTGGGAAGTACCTGGCTTCTTGGGAGGTGGGGCAGGAGAGGCAAAGTGGAGGGGAGACACCTCCTGTCCCAGCAGACCTGACACACCTGTGGCTTCAGGCTCTCTCCAGCCTTCAAAGGCTTGGGTCCAAAAATTGATGTCCAGGACCATTTGGAACTGAGAACATGTAGCCCGCAGGTCCAGTGACATGGAGGTGGGGATTGAGGACCAGCCTCACCTACACAAGCCCCAGGAGGTACACAGTGCAGGGGGGGTTGGAAAACTCAATTTGCAGCTTGGAATCCTTGCAGTGATGCTCCCATACAAACACAAAGTTCACAGAAAAATATTTTAAATATATGCATGTATGCATAGACAAGGGCCTGAAGAGATGTGTACTGAAATGTAAATACCGGTTATTTTGGGGGATTGGGATTATGGCAATTTACATTTCCTCTTTTCGCTGGTCTGTATCTTCTATATTTTCTTGCGTGAACATACATTATTTGGCAAAAAAGAAAAATGACTGCAAATTGTCCTAGGGAATGCGGTGCTGGGGGTAGGATGAGGCTTTGGGGCTGCGTGGCCCTGGAGAAAGAGTCTTTCCAACAGTCCTGCCATCGGAGCCTGTGTCTGCGGTCACCATCCTGCCTGCCCTGCTCTGCACAGGCCTCCAGCCCCACCTGGGCTCTGACTCACCTCCCTGCACGAGCTTGGCATTTGCCTGCTGCCATGTCTGCTTAAGATTGCCCAGCCCCCACCCTGCCAGCCGGAAGAGGCTGCTGGCCCCCTTCTGCGTGCCCCGTGGGATTCTGCGCCGCTTGGCGGGTCGCAGTTGAAAATAATGATTGACACTGACTCCTCTTGAAATGCTTGCAACACGAGTGCTGGGCACCAGGCACTGAGTGCATCCGTGCATCTCATCGGCAAACCCCCAGAATGTCTGCCCAGCGAGTTGCATTCTGCAGGTGAGGACATGGTGGCTGTCACCGAGGCAGTAAGGGGACGGATAATGTACAGAGGTCACGCCACCAGGGAGTGGCGGTGCACGCTGGGACACCAGCGCCCTGCCCTAACCATATGGCCACTCGGCTTCTGGACCTTGACTTATGTGTCATCCTGATTAAAACCCCACCCTCCCCAGAGGCAGAGACCTGCTTCTACGCCCATACCTAGTCGGGCACAGTGTCCACCGCACCACGGCAGGAGCCAGCGCCTCAAGACCCCACTCCTGGCCCATCTGTATAAGGGACACTCTAGGCACAGCTGCTAAGTTTGACCTCACTCCCTGCACGGGCTGACACAGTTCCACTGCCAAGGTCTTTGCTGGACTGTCTGCCCCGCCCCCCCCACCTCATTGGACCCACACCATCCTCCCCACCCCACCTGGACGCTGACCTCACCTGGGCAGGTACTTCATAATGAATACACTGACTCCTCACAACAGACGTCTAGGGTGGTTCTGCCACTACACCGTTACAGATGGGGGCACAGAGACGGCAAGACACTTGCCCAGGGTCAAACAGCATGTTGGGGCAGAGCTGGGATTTGAGCCAGAATTGGCACCTTTCGCCTACCAAGCTTTCCTGCTTTACCACCTTTGCGTCTCCCTCCGGCTCTCTTCCCCGGAACCCCTCATCTGGCTTCCATCTTGTTCCAGCTTTGTTTCCTTCCTCACACCGCTGTCCCTGTCCCTCCGGCTAAGGGAGGTCCCTGTCCCCTGCAGCTGGGCCACTTTACCCAGTGGCATTTTCTCCCCCCCCAGATGTTCCCTTCATGCTCCTTCTCCCCTCCAGGTCTCACTCAAGTGTCACCTCCTCAGAGAGGCCCTCCCTGCATGGGGCCACTCTCTAGCCCACCCCTTTGATCTTCCCTACAGGCTTGTGGCCCTGGAGTTCTCGTGTGCCCCTGGGTATGTGGTGTCTGTCCCTCAGCCTAGAGTGGAAGCCTAGAGTGGTGTCGCCTACGCCCAACAGGGCCTGGCCCCTGCTAGGCACTCGGGAAGCACTTGTGGGTGGATGAATGGAACAGAAATGAACAATTCATGGAGTCAGTACTCTGTTCCTGGGAGTTCCCCGAGGGCCAGCTCACGTCGGTGCCCCCTGCGGCCTTGGAGTCCAGCTCATGGAGCTGCCACCGCAGGTCACTGAGTTCTCGCCCTGGCCTCCAGCTCCTTCTTTGACTTCTTGCGGGGGGGGGGGGGGGCGGTTGGGGTGTTTGGGTTAACCTGAGTGACATCCCTCCTCTCAGCCTTAGGCCTGCCTTCCATGACTGCTCCAGGCCGGTGTGGCTGGTGGGCCCCGTCCCCAGGCTGGTGGAGGTGGCTAGAGGTGGACGTTTCCAGCGCTCCCCAGGCATGGCGCTCGGGCCTGCCCAAACCATTGTCACCCTCTCCCTGAGGGTGCACTTCTCATCCACTCCAGATCTCCGGCACTTGCTCATGGGACTGCTATGCGAGCCTGTCAGGTACCGGTCTACGCCATCTTACTCCACAACTGTTTGTGTCTCTATAAAAGATCTATGAAACCAGGAGACCAGAGCTGGGAGCGAGTGTTTTTCTACGGTGT